TTATTCAACCTTTTAACCATCAAAATCCATCCATCGACTCGTTTTGACCCATCTAAATCTATTCATTGACGTTGCTATAATTGCTGCTTTAAGCCATGAAAGATTTTCTGCCCATTACGAATGTAGACGGGCTGCAACATGCGCTAACCAGAAAGATTCAAACAAGCTAGGCAATCAGATTTCCGCTCCCTTGATGCTGTGCGTGTGTTCCTCTCATCTCCTGTCTTATTTCAGGAAACACGACCATCTCTGTCTCATCCAGTATACTGAAAATGTGAAAATGTAAAATGCATAGCATGCAGCATTCAGCGTTACCAAACCACTTATTATTTAATATAAATAATTTCATATAAACATTGTTTTGTCCCAATATTTTAATGCAACTGACACTGTTTGTAAATGGTCAGAAAAGCTAATTATAGCTTCCACAGGAGCAGGACATTTATATTGGATGTTGCACTGCTGGGGAAAACGAAATTGAATTGTACTACGGAGTCCTGCACATGACATGTGGGGGAAAAATAGATATTAATAATTTGTTGCTACAACTTCATTTGTTCCTACGACTTATTAAGTCGTGGCCACATTTTATTAATTAATTCCCTTGTTAAATTAAGATTAAGGAACAAATTACTACAACATGGCGACAGTAAAATAAATAAATAAAAAAATACATGAGGAAATTACTGAGATTCTGAAGGCCACAATATCTTTCATTTTCCCCCCCGCATGTCATGTATAGGACTCCATACAAATAAACTTGACTGAATAATAAAAAACTAATAAATAAAAAGCTAACAGCTACTAACATAGAGTAAATAAATACATTCATGGCACAATCACTCCATAACACTGATAGCATTGTGCTGTGAATACAGTTTTTAGTGACTATACCACTTTAAAAAAACAAGACCTTCTCCATTACTTATGAATGACTTGTTTTACTTGGTGTGAAAACACTGATGTGGGATTTGTGTAGAATTAAGTCATTGGTCTGAGCTCACGAGATGTCAGAGGGGGGGAAAGGAAATCAATATGCTGCCCATCAGCAAGGCTTAAGTGCAATGTTTAAACATGCAGCCAGGAGAATTCAAAACAGAGGAGGAAGTGATGTCTGTGCTTGGCCTAGACAAAGAGTTTAACGCTGTATATGTAAAAAAAATAAAAATAAAAAATAGACAAAGCTAAGAGATTTTTTGCAGCATAGTCGACTTAGTAAATAGTGTTAAGCCCCGTTCACACCAAGATCGATAACTATAAAGATAACGATATTAGCGTCTAAGCACACACTCATCTGCCGCTTTAAATTCTCAAGCTCGTTACAACAGGATGGGTTCTGATTGGCTGTCAATGTTTTTATCGTTCATCAGCTAGAAAAAATTTGAAAGTAATAAAAAAATACATGAGGAAATTACTGAGATTCTGAAGGCCACAATATCTTTCATTTTCCCCCCCGCATGTCATGTATAGGACTCCATACAAATAAACTTGACTGAATAATAAAAAACTAATAAATAAAAAGCTAACAGCTACTAACAAAGAGTAAATAAATACATTCATGGCACAATCACTCCATAACACTGATAGCATTGTGCTGTGAATACAGTTTTTAGTGACTATACCACTTTAAAAAAACAAGACCTTCTCCATTACTTATGAATGACTTGTTTTACTTGGTGTGAAAACACTGATGTGGGATTTGTGTAGAATTAAGTCATTGGTCTGAGCTCACGAGATGTCAGAGGGGGGGAAAGGAAATCAATATGCTGCCCATCAGCAAGGCTTAAGTGCAATGTTTAAACATGCAGCCAGGAGAATTCAAAACAGAGGAGGAAGTGATGTCTGTGCTTGGCCTAGACAAAGAGTTTAACGCTGTATATGTAAAAAAAATAAAAATAAAAAATAGACAAAGCTAAGAGATTTTTTGCAGCATAGTCGACTTAGTAAATAGTGTTAAGCCCTGTTCACACCAAGATCGATAACTATAAAGATAACGATATTAGCGTCTAAGCACACACTCATCTGCCACTTTAAATTCTCAAGCTCGTTACAACAGGATGGATTCTGATTGGCTGTCAATGTTTTTATCGTTCATCAGCTGGAAAAAATCGATTTGAAAGTGATTCCAACGATATCGTTTCTCTGTGCCTTTATCATTATAGCTGTGGTGTGGACTCTGCTATTCTTTAATATTGAGAACAATTTTTAGAACTATATCTTTATCGTTATCTTTATAGTTATCGTGCTTGGTGTGAACGCGCCTTTAGACGTTTTTGTGAAAAAACGGTTGCAAGAACATTATATTAACTATATGGCACCTTGGTAAAAATGGACAAGGTAATCGCATTTCATTACCTTATGAATGCTATATCTGATAAATATGCAAACAGTTCTCCTGGAATTGATAGCGGGAGACTCCAGTAATATGAACCTAATCTCATGGCACATTACTTCATCAGCATTTCACAACGTTTATAAAGCCAAAAAGCTATCAGGTATATTTTATATCTAAAAACACATTTAAAGCTCACATTGATTGTGTCTTATGTTTAGATTTCCAAGCCCTGCTGAAAAAGAAAACTGGTTTAACCCAGGCTATGATAGTTTGCTGCACTTAGAAGGCCAACAAGCTGGTTTCTATGGCTAAACCAGCTGAAAACAAGCTTGTAACAGTAACAATAATGTTAAATTTTCATTTTATTATTCTTTTTTTTTTTCAAAAAGATGTGAGGAAGTAAAAGTTAACAGAAACAGAAACATTTATACTTTTTAGAATATTCCTACGAACATTATTGTTGAGGTCAGCGTTTTGTTTTTTTGTTTTTTGGTGGTATGGTGGTAAAAAAATATTCAGCAAAGACACATTAAATTGATCAAAACTTAACAGTAAAAACTATTAAACTATTACAAAAGATTTTCTATTTTAAATAAATGACCAAAAAAGTACCACAGTTTTCATAAAAATATTAAGCAGCAACTGTTTTCAACATTAATAATATTAAAAATTGCTGTTTGAGCACCAAATCAGGATATTAAAATGATTTCTGAAAGATCACGTGACACTGAAGACTGAAGTAATGGATGCTGAAAATTAACCTTTGCCATTACAGGAATAAATTACATTTTAAAATACATTCAAATAGAAATCAGTTATTTTAAATAGTAATAATATTTAGCTGTTTTTACTGGGGGTTTTGATATAAAAAAAAATGCAGCCAGGTCAAGCATCAAAGACTTTTTCAAAAACATTAATAAATCTTACCAACCCCAAACTTTTTTCAACGGTATTATGTGTATTTCTACTTCATTACTTTGATTAATAGACAGATCAAATGCACTGAATAAATCTACTGTGAGGACTGATAGAACTTTTATCCGAGAGAAGTAAATCATTAACTCACCTATATATCTCAATTAGAAATCAAGTCATTCTCTGGGATACAGTTATGAAATTGTAGATCAGCAGAGATGATGGATGCTATTAATTTCACTCTTATTAAGACACCGCACAAAGGCAACCAGGCATTTTCCGTAGACTCCTACTGGTCAACCATGAAGTCTGAAACCTGTCCAGTTAAAACAGTGGGACATTCTGTGATGTGACAGGAAGTGGAGCAGTTGTGCTTCTAAACCAGGCGACAGGGACCGGCCAATCAGATCCATTCAATCTGTGTCTGTTGCCATAGACGTGCCAACCTCTAACTGAAGAAAGCCTTGTCCACTTCTATTTTGTTTTGTAACCAGCGAATCTGGTAAGCTTAATGTACTTTACTTTTTATTTTATTTTTATCATATCTGAGGCAGAAACCTACATTGTATGGGCCTTATTCAAGAAACACCTGCAGAAGTAATTTGTCGCTGTAAAAACATTCGTACATAAATTGTCCTATTCCATTCAACAAGTAATTTACGTAAGAATGGATTTACACACAAATTTGCTCTGCTCATGTTTCAGAAATAAGGCCAAATGTGTGTGTTCTGAAAGGATGTGTGTGTGTGGGACAGAAAGAGTGGCTGATGTGAGAAGTGTGTATACTGTATGGATAACAGTAGTGTTTAGAAGATTGCATACAAATCAATCGTCAACCCCCCAAAGAAAACATTCTCTCATTGCGTTAGAAAATAAGACTCCCCAGGATAAACAACATACATGCTTCCAAAATACCACACGATTAGTCATAATTTCATTAGATCGAAGGCCAATAGCAGTGGAATCTGGCAGGGTGCTACTAATCAGCGAGCAACAGAGAGTGATTTTGCATCACTCTGTAATTTTCAGTGTCACGATTTGCTCCCAAGAACACAGAGACGAAATGAGAGAAATCTTTCCAATTCACTGGCTCATTGATTTCCCTCCTACTCCAAATGCCTTTTTCCTCTCTCACCGTTATCTGAGGTATCATTTTCGGCCGTGTCAGAGACTGCCGTTCTTGTCTGCTTGTTGGCAATATCGAAGGTCATTTGCTGTCAGGACCATGAAATATACGGATACACAGACACCACACACATACAAACACTATAAAGTGCTTTCTGCTGGTCTGATTTATACTGTGGGTATAACGTTACATCTTATGCTGATCTGGGATTAACGTCTTCCACCTGAACCCACATGCACACACACATACACACTCGAATACTGGCACACGGTTGTTTTTAAACGCTTATGAAAATTCTGTCATCATTTACTCACCCTCATTAATGGTGACTGATGCTTTCAAGCTTTTTAAAAGCATGCAAAAGCACCACAAGCATCATAAACGTGGTCTATACAACTTTAGAACTTTAGACTTTATGAGCCATTTGGACATGGTTTTATTGTGCTTTTGCATCCTTTTTTGAGCTTGAATGCTTCAGTCCACATTTACTGTAAATTGAAAAAGTTGTCTTTTTGTATTCCAGAGAAGACAGTCATACAGGTTTAGAAGGACATAATGGACATAATAATGGTGAGCAGATGATGACAGAATTGTCATTTTTGGGTTTACGCCTTCCTTTCTCACCTGTGCTCCTGGTCTTTCCGTTTCTGTGCGAGGTATTTTTTCTTGACTTCTTGGAGTTCATGGGCCAGACGTTCGATCTCATACTTGTAGTCTTCTGATTGGGACTCGTGCATGTTGAGCTCTGCTGTTAGGACCTGTGAAAGAAAAAGTATGTTTGAAACTGTTCAAATATCCTGACTTTACATGTAAATTCTATATTTATGCACTTGGTTGCTTCAAACTTGCCTGGCAACCATAACCGGGTCAAGTGTACAAACACCTTCATGATTTAATTATATGCAGTGGTACAGTACATATCACCATTTGTTCCAATTAAGTTAATTTAAGCATATTTTAATAAAAACACTGAAAAAACACTGAAATCTTCTCCTCCTACTAACACTGAAAAATTAGTAGGAAAATGTGGTTAATTGAATTAAAACAAATTGGATTAATTTTCTTTATGAAAAAAAAAATATATATATATTTTTTAGTTTAATTCAGAGCTGAAACGGCCTACAGATGAACTATATTGCTTTGCAGACTAATTGTTTAGTGATTAACAACAGTGATTATTTTTGGTACTTTTTTTCATTTTATTATATACTGAACATGAATGTTTTTAATGATAAACACCTTCATGATTTAATTATATGCAGTGGTACAGTACATATCATCATTTGTTCCAATTAAGTTAATTTAAGCATATTTTAATAAAAACACTGAAAAAACTCCTAAAGAAAGCTCCTAAGAGCCCAATTGCTTTGCAGACTAATTGTTTAGTGATTAACAACAGTGATTATTTTTGGTACTTTTTTTCATTTTATTATATACTGAACATGAATGTTTTTAATGATGAAAGCAATACATTCTTACAGTGATTTCAGCATGATTAGGTGCTCCACATAATCACGGTTAAACACTGTAACTCACAGCCTCAAGCAGTTCATTGCTTTTATATGCACTGCTTTGGTGCTTCCAGTTATGTTGCAAACCATCTAAATATTGCAAAGCGTCTAAGAGCCCGTTTGTCAATTACTTTGAAATGTTTCCTAAAGCTGCGCTCACCCTTCAGTAGGCACCTCTTTGCTATAAATGTGTCCGAGTTGTACAGTTGTGATCTATCACTGAGGATGTGTTCGGCTTCCTCCGAGCAAGGAACAGAGCGATTTCCTCTGCGGCATCTCATTGATCTCCGTCAATCTTTGCGCATATCAGTCAAGCTCTAATTGTCATTCATCCAATGTGCTCCAAACCACCCACATAGTGCAGGTGACCCAACAGCCCAGAGCTCAGTAATCAAAGGAACAGAGAGAAGAGAGATGCTAAAGAGAAGGAGGAAGATGGACAGAAAGTGAGAGAGGAAGTAATAAATGAAGAAATCTCTGATGTGCTCTGCTGCAGAGCTGGCTTTGGATTGGACGATTTGTGAAGGGTATTGCACATGACAGGCATTCAAAAATTTTCTGCTCATTGAAAGTTTTTTTTATTTAAATGTTTTTCCATTTACAAAATTAAATACAAATAATTAGAAAATAAAATAATTGTATTAAATAAAATAATAATTTTATTAAATAATATCATTTTAAAAACGTCAATAAGTCAATAATAAATCAATTCCAAATCAGTATTATTTGGCAGAATAATTGTTTAGCTATAAACAATAGTAATTATTTTTGGTACTTTTTAATTAATTTTATTAGCATTTTTTATTTTATTATTTATCGAACGTGATATTAATTATTGGACAATTTGGGAAAGATATTGCATATATATTACGGCAGTCTGTTTTTTTTATATATAATTTAAATGAATATATTCCAAATCAATATTTCTTGGCAAACTAGTTGTTAACATTTTTTTATTAATTTTATTGCATTTTTTAAATGTTATTATTTATTTAATATTCAGATTTTTTTGACAGTTTAGGAAGAGTATTGCTCAGACATTCAAAATGTTTCTGTTCATTGAAAGCTTTTTTTTTAAATATTATTTTTAAAAAAGAATACAAAATAACTATAATAATAATAATAATAACAACAACTTAAAAAATTGAATCAATTCCAAGTCTGCCACAAATTATTATCATTACCATTTTATCTTTGTTTTTATTTATTTTTTATTTATTTCTAATTTTTATTTATTTATTTATTACTTTTTTTCCACCAAAATTTGCATTGTTTAATCAACTTTCATGCAAAAACTGCACTTTTAGCAAATTTTTAAATGAACAAAATACTTCATCTGTTGTGAGCTTTTCATACAGCGTATAATAATATTCAGACTACTGGGTATTTTACAAAGACAAAACTCTGGAAACATCTTCCAGGCAAGCATGGAGAGTCAAAAGACTAAAGATTAATGTTAATTTCCTAAAGGGGGCTGGAGCGGGAAGACATGCTTCAATCAAAACAAAGAATGGGATGATTTTTCTGTTTGGCTCATTAGTAAGGCTTCTGTTCTAATGTTAATTACGCTGAGCTTTGTTTATTTAAAGCTTTGCCAGTGATGCCTGTGGTGCCTAACTCATTTTAAGCTTGGCAATAAATTATCAGAAAGCCAAACCCCACTATGCCTACCTTCGGGCCATTATTTTTAAGTTCAAGGGCGCCAGAGAGTTTTATACTCCACACTGCAGATATTCTAATAGATCAGCTCAGAATTTCTGCCGAGCTAAGGACTTTTGAGTCTTTAAAGTCTGTTACATCCATTTTTGTAAAGAATGGCGAATGTAACGGAGCACTTTCTACTGTCCTGACTGCAGAGGACAGTTTGCCTGGTTTTCAGATCCAGGGCTAGTTTCCTGGATCCTAATGTTCCTGATCAAACCGCAGCTCAAAGATCAGCGTATATCAGTGCTATATGGACATTATAAGGTCACCGAAGGCTCAGCGAGAAGAGAAGAGAAGAGAAGAGAAGAGAAGAGAAGAGAAGAGAAGAGAAGAGAAGAGAAGAGGTTTATTAGCGGACCTTCAGTTGTTTGGTCTTCTCCCGGAGTATTCGCTGATAAACCTGTAGTTTTTCCGCTGCTTCCAGACCAGGCTGCCGAGCAAGGATGTGTTTCAGCTCGACGTAAAGTTTCTCTTTCTCCTGCAACACAAAGTAAAACAAAATCAAATTAATTTTAAATATGAAGTACCAAATTTAATTTAATTCCATTTTTAATTCAATTTTTAGTACAATTGGAATGTAATTTTTAATTTTATTTCATTTTAAACATGTTAATTTAATTTAATTTTTCAATACAATTTTAATGTAATTTTTTATTCTATTTCATTTTAAACAAAGTATCATAAAGCACCTAATTTAATTTAATTTAATTTTAAATGAAGTATCATAAAGTAGCTAATTTAATGTAATTAAATTTTTAATAAAATTGTAATGTAATTTCTAATTTTATTTAATTTTAAAGTATCGTAAAGCTACCAAAATTACCAAATTTTGCCATAGGTTTGATCGCAACATATAATCATTGCTGTTAATAGTGTTCACCGTCTGTTTGATTACATGAAATTAACTAACTGCTTAATTTTACCATACATTTCTGCCATATGGACATCAACTTGAGATAGTCACCAATTATAAGCTATTACTAAATATAATGTAGAAACTTAAATTTTCTGTAAAGCTGCTTTGCAGCTATTTGCATCATGAAAAGCGCTATAAAAAATAAACTTGAATTGAATTGAATTAAAACAATTTTCATGTAATTTTTTATTTAATTTAATTTTAAACAGTAAGTATCGTAAAGCACCAAATTTAATTACATTTTATTTAATTTTAAGTTTAATTTAAATGTAATTTAATTTTAAACATGAAGTATTGTAAAGCACCACATTTAATTTAATTTCATTTAATTTCATTTTATAGAATTTAATTTAAGATTTAAGTTTTTACACAATTTTTCATGTAATTTACAAATTTAAATTAACAAATAAAAAATTTAATTTTAATGTAACTTTTAATTTAACATATAATTTAATGTAATATTAAATAAATAGTACTTAACAACATTAGTTCACTATTGTTATTTTACTTTATATAAACAGTGAAAAATCCCAGTGATGTTATTCTATTATCTTCTAACAAAAATAAGTAATGTAACTAACTCTACAATGAATCAAATCCTCTAAAACACTGTGAAAATTCTCTGAGATGTTCAAAATGTGTCACTCTTTTTCTCCTGAATAGACTTCAAAAGAGATATTTGTTAGTTCATTGTTAGATCAGAGCATGAGATCTCTTTTACCATCAGTCGTACAATTATAAGCAATGATGCTATTTTTCAGTGTCACATCACAGAAAAAAAAGCTACAGCTAGATTCAGGGGACTGACAGCTAATTCGTTTTGTAAGCTAGTGTTAATTATCCAAGTGTGTGGAGGAAAGAGAGATGGACAACTAACACTAATCGCAGCACAGACCAAGTAATGACACACACACACACACACACATATATATGGATCATCAATGTTGCTAATTAGAGAGGGAGTACTGTCCAGTTTAAATTCATCAATGCTAATAAATGCAGACAGTCTGGTGTCTAAAATGATCACTAATATAAAGGCTTTGAATTTTCCATGGAACATAAATGATGTGCCACAGGAGAAATCATGAATTCAGGGGGTTTAGGACGACTGAAAGAAGATCGTTCATGATCAAAAGGAGCAGCATTCAAAATGAAGACACACTCATGGCCTCAACAACCACAAAACAGTTCTTTGTCTCAAACACATTACTGCACACAGCACACACACATAAACACACACACACATTATAGATGTATTGCAAAGCTGGAAGCTTAACACATTTTTTCCTCTGAAGCTCCCAGTATTTTTCTCAAGATATTTTCTGTCCTTTTTCTTTTCGCCGATACTTCACAGCCACGGTGGCCGTCTCTTCATAATTTCATCAATAGTGAAGTGTGTGTGTGTGTGTGTGTGTGTGTGAGATAGAGAGCGAGTCAGCTGATGAATGATTTATGACTGAGAGGCGTCTGGACTTTAATACACTGACTTTAGGATGACAACAAGGCCGAGATCAAACCCAGTCTCAGACTCCACCTTTCACCATGTCTCGCGCAAACATCTGCACTCATGGCGCGTTATCAAAGAATACATCACTTCAGCATCCGAAAACATTTCCACGGTTTGATAATGCTAATGCAGTTACACATGTCCTCAACGGAGACCCAGCAAGTCTTCTTAAAAGAATTGTTTCGAGTTCAAAAGTTAAGCTCTATCAAATTATTTTTCTCAGACTGTCAATAGCAGGGCTTGCCATCTGGGCAAATCTGAGTACAGTTTGTGACATTGCTAAGATTTCTTCTGAAATTCTACAAAGGACACATGTTCAATTATTAGCATCAGTTTCCGAGGAGAAATGAACTGGGATTTCATCCATGTTTTGTATGCACATTTTTTGAATATTGCATAAAAAATGCTAGATAAAATTTCCCACATGCACAAAAAAAAAAAAACGTACATGTTATCGTAAAGTGGATTAGCCTTTTATTTTGAAAGAAATAAAAAAATTAAATTATAATAAAATAAAATATGAAATTAATACTTCAGAAAGGATGCATTAAACTGATTGAAAAACTGTAATGACAGTAAAGACATTTGCAATGTTACAAAAAAATTATATTTGAATAAATATATGCTGTTTATTTGAACTTTCTATTTATCAAATAATCCTGAGAAAAGTTTCACTTATCACCACAAAAATAGAAAGCAGAACGACCATTTTCAACATTGTTAAAAGAAGACACGTCTCTTGAGTACTACTTGGAATAATCACTTTAACTTCTTAAGACCCGGCAAAACATTTTAGGAAAATTGTTTTATTTTTTTTAATGTCATTACATTGTTTAGAGCACTGTTTCTCAACCAGGGGTCCGTGGACCCCTAGTGGTCCTTGACGTAAGGCCAGGGGGTCCATATCAAGTATGAATTTTTGTATAAATTTTGTATATTTTGACATGACATGTTCCCATGAAAGAAAAATCCAATATAGCTGATGATATGGCCAAATACTGGACAAGTCAGCTAACTTGAATTATACTTGACTGTATTTGGTCCTCACAAAGACACACAAATGATTCATAGATGAGTCAATTTTGTTCTGGGGGTCCTTGAGGATGGTTCTGAATTGGACTGGGGTCCGGTACGCCAAAAGGTTGAGATTCACTGGTTTAGAGCATTAAAAAAATAAAAATAATAAAAATAATAATAATAAAAAAAATGTAAAAGATATTTCATTCATAAGTTATGCTACGTCCTTGATAGAGGACATCGGGACTCAATTAAAAAAATAAATAAATAAAAAGGCATGAATGAACATGCATAGGTAAAAACAATTGATTTTTTTTAAATCACCAATACATTTTTAGTTTTCAGGATTTTTTTTACCAAACTTTTTATAATTCTCAGCTATATTATAACAGAATTATTTGATATACCATTTTTCTTCATGCAAAATGTGTGTAAAATGGCCATAAACAGGTTTTCTCATTATATATAATGTATCTATAAACTAAATCTAATTTGCATATTAATGTGTTTTTGGGGCAACATGTAATGAAAAAATAAGCGTAATAATGGGAGTAATAATTGACAAGACTTTCATAATAATATATAATATTCATAGGAATATTGAAATATATTTTCTTTCCCTATTCATTTGTTGTGTCTCCCAAAATGCGTAATAAACATGCTTTTAGTCCCGGTGTCCTCATATCAGGGACATATATGAAATCAACCTCCTGTTTCGTAACAGAAAGTCATATTTTGATTTGAAACCCCATAACGTTTTCCTGAGATGTTGATTTATGACACACAGTTTAAAAATTTGTCAGATTTAAATGATAATTAAAAAAAAAATTATCATATTTCCATAAGACTAAATTCATATCAGACATTTTTGAAGACCAAGCAGAGGGAGTGGTCATGGTGAAACATCCAAACTTTTAGTATCTCTGAAAAGCCCTGAATGTGCTCTGTACAGGACATGTATAGTCTCAGAGAAATTCACTAAAATATAATGTCCTCATATGAGGATGCAGGGTCTCAGGAGGTTAAACAGCAAATTAATATATTTTATAAAGATCATGTGACATCGAAGACTGGAGTAATGGCTGCTAAAAAATCATTTTGCCATCAAACAAATAAATAAATAAAATCTTTATTTTAAATTAGAATAATATTTCACAATATTAGCCTACTATTTTTACTGTACTTTTCACACAAAAAAATGCAGTCTTGATGAGTATGAGAGACTTTCAAAAACATTTTTAAAATCTTGCTGGCCCTAGATTTTTCAGCAGAAGTGTATGTGTAGAAACTATGATGGAAAGGCATTAACAAAATACCTTTCTATTTTAATAATTTAAAAAATTTTGCACAAGTTTCCCTGGAAGTAACTAGTATTTTATCCTCATGAACACATTATATTAAAACACTGCTTATTTGGAAACTGTTTTCACAATATTCTTCACAACAATTATAATATGAAAATATAGCTAATGTCTCTAACTATTATTATTAATATCATTATTTTATTTTATTTTATTTTTACCTACAGCCTGAAATTCTTAGCTTTGCAACTAAAATATGTAATGAAATCAAATGATCTACTGAGAAACACATGCAATGCTACCTTCTTCCAGATGATGATAGTTAAAAATGTTTTTTGCCTAATGAATAGAAAAACACTGTCCATAAATACAATACTCTGATAATAATTCATCCTCCCTAAAGGAAATGACAAAGAATATCTGTCTTTGATTCAATGACCACACCACAGGGCCCTTCAAATCCTCATCTCTCCATATTCTCGCTCACTTTCTTTCTCTTTTACTCCATTTCCATCTCTCTCCCCCAAACTCATATTTAACAGCATGTCTTCTACAGTCATCCTCTTATGTAAGAAGTATTTTTACACATTGTTAACAAACAGGAAGTCACGTTGCTTAGCCTCATTCTGACTTCATTTCCTCTATATGTCCGACTGAATTATCACAGAAGCCTATGTGACATGAAGAACACTTGAAGTAGCTCTGCTGTCCCTGTTCAGCGCGATCGGTAGACGACGAGTGCGATTTAAAAGC